CAATACAGTGTGTGTATGTATGTATGTGTGCGTATGTGTGAGTATGTGTGTGTATATGTTTGTGTATATGTGTATGTATATGTGTGTGTGTGTGTATGTGTGTATGTATGTATGTGTGTGTGTCTAATATTGACCTTATATTAGATTCATATTAATGATGGATGATATATTAAATCAAATATCATGAGTAATAACATAGAAATAAAATATTACGAAATAGATTTAATATAAATAACCAAAAAATAATATATATCATATACTAGTATATATATTATTAATATAGAAAAACTAAATATCATATATAAATTATATAGATAAATGATGCTAATATATTAAAAATATATACAAGTGATTTTTAAATATATATATTTTTAAGACCAAAAGTAATGTAAATAAAATATTTTTATTGAAAATATTTTTAAAACTAATATTCATATTTAATAAATATTCTTTATATATATATATATTAAAAATTATATGTTATGTCAATCAATGGGTTAAGTGTTTTATATATATATATATGGTTTTATTAATATAATATATACTATTATACATAGTCGTGCATTATATCACTAGTGATAATTTCAAACACACATATTGGTAAAAGTATAAATTAATATGTATTTACAGCACATATACATATACAATATATACAGTACTGTACAACATATTCAAACACATTATGACTATAATTTAATGTCAGTTTGTGGACACAAAAAAATCAAATATATGAGTCCAAAGATAGCGATAACAGGGCTATAATTTGTCAGTTTGATTATGAAATCATCGCATAATATAGATGGAAAAAACACACAAATGTATTATCATGTTTTATATATTATCATATTGATATATAAGTTAGAAATATATATATATCTATGAAATTATACACAGTGTTTAGGATCTAATATTTGCAATATTTTTTTGGGTTGCAATATATACAGTATATATATATATATATACATACTATATATATATATATATTAACATAACATAAATGTTATGTATTGTCCTCTGGGTATGCAATAAATAATAGTTGTGTTTTAGTTATATTATATAATATGTGTTAAATATATTTAATGTATAAAACATCAAATATGTATACATATATATAATATATTATTTTATGTGTTGTTCGGCAATTAACAAACATTTATATATATATATACATGTTTCTACTGTATATTTGTATAATATAATATAAATTATATAATTGTTTAATAAATTCAGAAATATATAATAAAATAATTTATATGAATATATAAATACATTTAAATTTTTATATAAAATATTAAATAAATGTGTTGAAATGTCAAATGTAAAATATCAAGCAAATCATAATATAATAAATAAAATAAACATTAAGCTGCTTATAATTTTAATTTAATATGCAATTTGTATTTTTTAAAAATATCTCATTATATTATACAATATGATTTTTATTTTGTTAATTATTAAGCATATAATATAATAAATATGAAATTATCCGATGAAAGCATTCACATTTTTTTTATTGTATATAGTTTTAGGAAAATTATTGATTTAATTTAATAAATTATTTAGTAAGTGAATAAATTTTATTTGTTATTTTTGTAGTTTAGTTATTTGTTAGGAATTTATGAACAATTATTATTTTTTTATTATTATTATATTAATTTAAATATAATACTTTGTGAAGTAAATTATTTTTAATTTTTTAAAATTTGTATTTTTACATATAATTTAATTTTCTAACTAATTCATAATTTTTGTTTGTTTGTTTGACTAATATTTATTATATAAATATATTTTTTCAACTAAGCTATAGATAATTTTGTATTATACATGTATTAAAAAAAATCTTTTTAAATTTATATATATATTAAAAATAATAAATTAATTATGTTTTAAATATTTCTACAATTATTAAAATTAAAAAAAATAAAATCTAATTATTATCAATATATTTTTATACAGTATATTATAATAATAAAATTTATTTGATTTTCTTATTTAATTTATCATTATACTGATATACTGAACCACAATAGGCATAATAATAATAATAATAGTATTGAATGGCCAGTAAAAAACTCAACACACTATATGTTTAAACAATATATATATACAGTATATACTGTATATATAATGTATATATCATATATACAGCGCGTGCGGTCTATCCATAAAAGCTAACAGTCCTATTGCTAACTGTACTGTTATATGGTATATATATATAACTATCAACTTATTACTGTACAGAATCCAGAATCTGAACACAGAATCTTGCGATAGAAAGTAGAGTCTAGTGTTTGAAAAAATTATTAGACCACTCATAACCTTATTGCTGCACTGGTAGCTGAACAGCTAACTGTGCTTATATAAACTGCGTGTTTGTGTGTAACAGTGAGATATATTTATATATATATAAATAATAATAACACGATTATAATAAAGTAATTTTTTTAATTATAATAAATAAGTATTTGTTTGTAAAACCCTGTAAAACATTTGATTGTTATCAACATTTTGTTTGTTTTGATTGTTATTTCATACTATGATAGTTAACATAAATTGAATTATGATTGTTTAAAGTTTAATTATTTATTACTTTTTTTTAAATGTGACATAATTTTTTAAAATTAAATAAATTATTTATGTATATATCAACAACAAAAATTAATTATTGACTGTTTTATTAGACAATAAAAGTTTTAAAAAAAATAAAACATTATCAACAAATATAAGGTATATAAAAATATATATTTTTTAATTATTATGGTTTACATTTTTCCTTACTATCTATCTATTTATCTATTTTTTATTAACTTTATTTATCAATTTTATTTACGCACTCACTCATCATTTTTTTTAATAATATTTCATTTATCACTATATACTGTATATTGCTTTGTATATACCGGCAGATATTTTTTGATATCATTAATCCCTTAAAATTAATTTTTAAAAAAAAACTTTTTTTTACTTAATATCTATTTATATCGCAAACCTCAACAATAATCTGACAAACCTTATCGTAAACAGTATATCCATATCAATAGCATCATTGCATTACAACCAATATATATATATATATTGTATAATCTATAACAACAAAATAACACCAAAAAAAATAAATAAATAAAATCAGATAAGATATTATTAGATCAGAAAATAAAATTTGTTTTAATACAGGACTAAACTGTTTGACAGTTGCAAAGCCAAGAGATCAGATGAAAGTTAGAGACGAAGAAAGAAAAAAAACATTTTTAATTTCCTTTTAAAATACAAGACAACAACAAACTACTACTCATTTGAAAGATTTGTGTTTTATTTTATTTTTAAAAAAAATAAAGTGAGAGACAAACATAATGTATCTGTTTTTTCCCAATTAAATAAAATTAGACAATTATGTGGTAATGTTATGCGAAAATTGAAACCAAAAAGTAAAAAATTAAAAAATTACACATAAATATATATTGAACTTATACTAGATATATACTGTATATAAAGTTAAATATATACAAAAATATTAATTTTGAATATTGAATTGATATTTGAATAAAATAAATATTTATATGAACTTATTATTAACACATTTATTAACATTTAATAATTAGCATTAATTATTTATATGGTACTTATTTTTCAATTTTTTTTTTATATAAATACAATTATAAATTTTTAATAAATTCAGTAAATAATAGATTATATACTATATATGGATATACACTCTATATATTTACGAATATATATAACTTATATATCTATTTATTGATTGTAAATAAATTAAAAGATTCATTAAGTGAGCGGTTTATGTTGAAGACATTAATTTCCCTAAAAGTCTCTCAAAATATTTAGATGTGCGGATAAAAGCAATTACTTATAGTATATATAAGTTATATATCTACTATTATATATATATATATATATATATATATATATATATATATATATATATATATATATATATATATATACATAGTATGTATATAAATATATTGTGAATTATTTATATATATATATATATATTGTATATTAAATTTGTGTTTCTTTTTTTTGAGAATCTATTTAATTGATTTCAAGATTATATTATGTATTAATGTATTAAAAGATTTTATTTGTTTTTTACTCTTTCTATTTCTATCTCACTTTCTATGTCTCTATAGATTTAATACCAAATAAACGCTATTAAGTCAATTGGTATGTCATCTATACTGTTGTTGTTTGTCTAATAAAACGTTAAAATCAAATGATTAAAAATTAATGTAAATTTTTACGGAAAAAATATATTTTATTATTAAATTTTTTTTTGTCAACAAATACTACCAACAACAACAAAAAATTAATTAGTATTTGAATTATACTACATTTGATAATAATAAAACAATAATAAAAGTAATAATAATAGTAATAAAGTAAAATAATAAAAAATAATTTTTATTGTTATTATATCACAGTTGATTAACAAGTGATTTTTATTTGATAATAATAATAGTTATTAATACTAATAATAAAAATCATAATAATATTGCTATTATATAAAATAAATATTTTTTTAAAAATAATAACAATTTTATTGCCAACAATATTTGTTTCACACACTCATACTATTTGGTGATTCAAATAAAAAAAACATTAATAATACAGTTATAAGGGGAAGGGTATGAAAATAATGGACAGCCACTCAACATACACACATAAAGGGCAAACCAACAAAAATTAAAGGCCACTCCGTATAACAATTACTAACTGGACATTTATATTGAGACTAACTATTAGTTTAAGTGTAAATTATCATTATATCGCACATACAGAATATATACTTTATATATATATAATAATAATAAATAATAATAATAATAGCAATAGGCATCAGTAGTAATAATAATAATAATTGTAATAAATAAAAGATACAAATAATATCGCGCACACACACACATAATAGTAATAACTATAATAATAATAATAATACTAATAATAATATCAATATATACTGCAATTGTATTGTATTTATAATAATGAGAAACAATTTGCCGACAAAACAACAACAAAAACACCAACAATACCGACACAAATATCAACAACGTCTCAACGTATGGCTTGAAATGCCAGTTATTCAGCAAATTATTTTAGTCATTATATTAACAATTATCGTTGCCATCAATATTGTTGAGTGCGATGACATTACACTACCAACCATCGATGGTAAGTCATGTCTATATATCTATCTATCTATTAATATATATATATATATATATATATATATATATATATACTGTATATATTTATCTATCTATCAATTTATCAATCAATATAAGTTTAGTATATCATTTTTATATACAATTCTTAAATATATATATATATTTATGCATAAGTTATATACAGTATATCAATATATCTTATAAACATTTGTGTCAAAACATATGTAATAATTGAATTTTTATAAAATAAATATTTTATTTAGTATTTTTGAAGTATTTGAAAGTATATTCAGTATATTGAAGTCAGTTTGTTTTGTCAAACATAAATAGGATATTGTAATAGAAAAATACTGTAATATAACATATGTATCAAAAATAACTGCAGAGATATATATATATAATTTGTTTTCAATAAATATTATTTTTAGATATAAATTTATATATATACAGTATTTTTTTTATTACAATTTTTTGCAACTATCATTATACTACTTATTGACACAAATATGATGTATTATTTTTTGTTGTTGATATCACATATTGTTTTATTTGTTAACAGTTAAGGTGTTGTTTACTAAACAACAGATTTTTTTGAACACATTTTAAAATATATTGAGATTTTCTAAAATATATATATTATATATCTATATATTTATACTTTATATATATATATATATATATATATATTGATATTTGTATTGTCAAAATGTTTTATCGTAAAAAATATATATTTTATATATATATATTCTATACGCTACAATAAATATCTAGCATTAGCAATCGTGTTTATATAAACACAAAACAAAAAAAAATATTATATAACACTTATGGGAGTTAAAGTGTTAATACATACATAGAGATACACACACATACACATTGCCGACATATATATAAAAAAATATTAAAAATTTTGTGCTAAAATGTTTAAATAACAAAAAATTTATTTGTATTTTCCAAAAATATATTGCTCTCTCTTTCTTTCTCTCTCTCTCTCTCTCTCTCTCTCTTGAAAAGTTAAATGTCAATAACTAAAATAAAAAATAGTTTTTTTTCGTCGACTTTTACACTGTCGATAAATATTATGTTTTATTCAGTCAATTGTATAGAAAAACAAATATATTTTGCAATGAAGTAAAACTTTTAAAAAAATATAATATATATATATATATATATATTTCTATCTACTATACAGAGCAATATTATATGTTATACTACTCTAGTATAATATATATGAAGTTGTGACAACAAAATTTTGATAATACATTTCTCACTATTTTTCAAACAAAAAATATATATTATATATATATATATATAATATATATTCAGTAAATATCTGTATAGTTATAAATATGAATATATTCAGTATTCAATATATATATAAAGAATAGACTATACTATAGAGTATACATATATTGAAAAAAAAGTAAAAGTCTTATCGCTTAATACATTGCCATTTGAATTGCAATTAGAGTCTAGTCTAGCATTTGATGGCCTCTTCACTGAAGGGATGACTTGAATATTATATTATTATTATTATTATTATTATTATTTCATCGCTATATCATAGTATATGTGTCAAACAAAAACACACAAACATTCAAAATGATTGTATATTTTTAGATATTTCAGATATTATTTTCACATTGAAATGTACTGTATATATATATATTTTGAAAATAAGATTCAATTGTCTTCAATGTCTTGGTTGATAAACATATATAAAAGTATATATTATCTATATTTTTATATTTAAAAAATCAATTTTATTTTTATAGATATAATGGTAAAAATTGAAATTTATTTAACTCGAAAATATGCATTTTATGTACAGTATTTTTTGAAAAATTTATTTACTAAAATATTTAATAATATAAATTAATTTTTTTTAAAAATTATATAATTGTAAACTTTTTATAAATTTTTATTAATAACAATAGTTTTTTATTATTCCAATAGTATATTATTCAATATTTGCTACATAATGTAATTATATGTAATTTTATATTATTCAATTTTGAAAACATTAAAATAAATTAGTATTATGATTGAAAATAATAGATAATAATAATAATGTTTAAATTACTTTAGATCATTGCTTAGATTACAAAAACAGATTTAACTATTTATTAATCATAAAATTACTTTAATATATTATTGTCTATTAAATATAATACTGTATAATAAAAAAATACTATTATGAAATATTATGCCATATAATAATATTAAGTAAATGATTATATATTTTATTATAGCAAAAAAAAACTACAAATTTGTCTATTGTTGAAATTTGTCAAACAAAATAGCATTTTAAATTGTTAGTCATTAAATAAAATGATTAAAATACATTAAGTTAATAAAAAAAAATATTTTTATATAATAAATTGATATAATATTAATAATAATTACTAATCATTATTATTATTTTGAAACACTTTATTTAATACTATTTATATAACACAATGATTATAATCAGTCTTTTAAGTGGTCACATATAGTGTATTATTATTATTATTATTATTATTATTATTATTATTATTATTATTATTATTATTATTATTTTTGTATATCACGGTTGTTCCGGTGTGATCACAGTTGTGTCGGCCACTTTTGGTGGCAGAGACACGACTGGTTAGACTCAACTCAAGTCTAGTACTTTTCTGACTGTTCTACAACTCTGAAGTATCACTGCTTTTTGCATTTCATAGATCTTAGTTTTTCTGATTTCCAGTGATTCCAAACTTAAGGCCAGATTTTTCGGTATTACGGCCATTGATGACAGGATTATAGGTATGATTTCAACTTTCTTAATGCGCCACATCTTATTGATCTCATAGGCCAAGTCTGTATATTTTCGGCGTTTCTCACTATGCGTGTCCTGTAGTTTGTGTGTTAGTGGGACCGCTATGTCTATTATGTACGCCTTATCTTGATGTTTGTCTACTAGTACTATATCTGGGCGGTTGTGGGCCACAGTCTTATCTGTTCTTATTTCCTTATCCCAGTAGAGCTTGGCTCTGTTGCTTTCCATTACACTTTGTGGCTCGTATCTATAGTATGGTAATGGTTCTTTGATTAGTCCGAATCTTATTGCCAATTCCTGATGTATGATTTTGGCTACTTGGTTGTGACGGCTTAGGTACTCGGTGTTTGTGAGTACTTTACACCCATTTAGTATATGTTCTATTGTTTCTGACTCCATATGACACATCCTGCACTTGTCTGTTGGTATATTTAGCTTTTGGATGTATTTCTGATGGTTTCGTGTCGGAATCACTCGATCTTGTATTGCCATCATGAACCCCTCTGTCTCTCCATGAAGACCGGCGTACTTCAACCATTTTGTAGACATTTCTTCGTCTACGTGTGTTTGGTTGAGTTCTGCTCTGTATCTACCGTGGAGTTCTTTTGAGGCCCATGTGTTAATCCTCTCTTTTTCATTTTGTATTTCTATTTGATGTTCATTATTGCTGAGATTTAGAGGTGTGTAGTTGTTATCAAGTGTTGCTGTTATTTTGTGGAGCTCTGAGACATTGCATTTTTGTTGATGGTATTTTCTCAGCAATTCTCGCTGTTTGGCTTCAAGGCTTACAATGTTTAGTAACCCTCTACCCCCATGCTTTCTACTAACACACAGTCGTGCTACAGAACTTCTAGGGTGGTGTAGTCCAAACATTGTAAGTTGTCGCCTTATATGTCTTTCAATGGTCTCAAGTTCTGTTTTACTCCATTTTATTATTCCGAACGAGTATGTCAGTACAGGTATAGCCCAAGTGTTTATGGCTTTGAATTTGTTGTTTGAGTTTAGTTGAGATTTTAGTATTTTTATTATTCTTTGGTTTAATGTTTTCTTTATTTCTTCTTTAACTTCTGTCATTTTAGATTTATGCATTTGCTTAATTCCTAAGTACTTATATATATCTCCATTTTCTAGTGCCTTTATATATCCATTTTCAGTTTCGTATTGATTTCTTTCAGAATAGACTCCTCTTTTCAGTTTCATTATAGCACATTTATCTAATCCGAATTCCATATTTATATCATTGGAGAAAGTTTCTGTTGTTTTTAGCATTGCATTTAAATCAGATTCTTTTTCGGCATATAGTTTTAAGTCGTCCATATATAGTAGATGTGTTAGATTATATTTTGTATCACTTGATTTTAGATTTACGCCTTTTAGCTTTTTAAGTAATGATGACAGTGGGTTTATGGCTAAGCAGAACCACAGAGGACTGAGTGAATCTCCTTGAAATATTCCTCTATTTATTTTTATTTCTGTACTTATTTTTGTTCCATTATTTGTATTGACACACAATTTAGTATTCCATTTTTTCATCATATTTTCTAATGTGTTTATCAGTGTGTTGTCAATTTTATATAGTTTTAACACTCTTAATAACCATTTATGAGGGACTGAATCGAATGCTTTCTTATAGTCTATGTATGCCATTTCAAGATTTCTATGTTTTTGACGAGCTCTTATTGTTATGATATTGTCTATTGTTAATTGCTCTTTACAGCCCATAGAGTGTTTTATACAGCCTTTTTGTTCTTCAGCTATTATGTTGTTGTTGCTTAAATGATTATATATTTTTGTTGATATTATGGATGTTAAGATTTTATACATTGTTGTTAGGCAAGTGATGGGTCTATATTTACTGGGATCTGATGTATTTTCTGTTTTTGGGAGTAGATATGTTATTCCAGAAGTGAGGAAGTCGGTTTTTGTCCTGTTTGTATTATTTTATCCATTGCTATTGCCATTGGTTGATGTACTGTTGTAAAGTGTTTGTACCAGAAGTTTTGTATTTTGTCTTGTCCTGGGCTTTTCCAATTGTGGGATTTCTTGAGGGCTTCGGTTAAGTCATCTTTAATTATATTTACTGAAGTCATATGTGGTATTTCTTTATTTTCATCTACAATATCATTTATCCAATTTGATTCTTTATATTCCTTTGGGTTACTCCAGATTTCTTTCCAGTAGTTTTCTATTTCATCTATTTGTGA